ATAGGATAACTGGGTAAGTCATAGCTTAAAAAATTAGTCATTAGATAGTATACTACTAAATAATGTTGTTTTTAAATGAAAAACAAATCTAAATAAAGTTATGGCATGACTGCTGAATTAAAAAAAAAATATTGTATAAACTACTGAGTATTTTAAAAGTCCTAGTACATAGTCTCTTTTTTTAAGAAGCTTTTTATATAGTATCTCGTGATATTTATACTAGAGAGTTAAAAAAAAAAAAAAAAGAAGCTTTTTATATATAATAATTCTCTATATACAAGTTACTTTCGTTATAGTGAGTAATCGAGCTGATAAAAAAAATCTTCACTATAGCTTATATTACAAGAATACTATATAAACTTTATTATATCGAGCGAAGAATTAATAATAATATAGTGAATTTAAAAACAATTCTAAGATCTTCACTATATTGAGAGTTCACTATAACGAGAGTGACTTGTATAAGGTTATTTTAAAAAAAAAGAACTATGTACTAGAACTTATAAAGCACCTAGTATATATTAAAATACAAGTTACTCGTTATAGTGAACTCTTGATATAGTGAAGATCTTAATATAGTAAAGAAAAATTTTCAAATTCATAACTATTATTATTAACTCTTTGCTTAATATAATAAAGTTTATATAGTATTTTCTCAATATATGCTATAGTGAAGATTTTTTCTCTCAGCTCGATCACTTCACTATAACAAGAGTAACTTGTAATATGATAAATACCTTTTTGTAATGCATTTATAGAAGCAAGCTCAAAATTCGTCAAAACAAATTCAGGTTGTAAATAAATATCATAGTCTTCACTAAAGTCTACTAAGTCTTGAAATAGTCTATTATACCAAATTTCTGACTTACTAGACATCAAGACATATACAAGAGGCAGAATTCTGAAGTTACTATCCCCTCCAACAGACCCATGAATCATATATAATTGCCGAAAAAAAGTCAGTACCATGTTAAAAGTTCTATCCATTAGCCAAACTGAAGATTGGCTTAAATATTGAATATTTGAAACTGTAGTAAAAAGTAAAATTCTTTCACTACCAATAACTGAATCTTTGATTAAGAAGTCTGAGCCATCTAAAGGTTTTTTTAAATTATCAGAAATAACAAATTCATTTAATGAATTTGATCTTGAAGGAAGGCCTGAATGTCGAACCCTTCATATTGTTTAACAAAGTGTATTATAAGATAGAATATATGGATAAATATTTTGGAGATTATTTGCAATAACAGATTGAATAATTTGTGATGGAGGACTAAGTATTTGTTTTGCATGTTCTTTTATTTGATTAGTTAATTTTCTAATACCAGCTTGGCTTTATCAGCAGTATGATTATACCTTCCTGCTTGTCGCAAAATATGTTCTCCTCTAACTAGTATAGTAGCAACATGCCTATTACATTTAAAAGTATCATACTTTTCACAACACTAGTAATATAGATCTCTTCTATTTTTATCCTTTACCATAATAAAACCATGAATATTAATTGTAGATTTTCCACGAATCGAAGGAATAATTTTGCAAGTATAATTTTCTATTAGAAACAAGACAAATAAGATTTTTAAAATTAGACTTATTAATTAGCTTGGATTTATTAATATATATACTTTTTGGTTAATAATAATAATTTGAATTTATCAGATCTTATTATATAATGTGATATATTTGAAAATAGTTATTTAGTTTAATTCAAATTTATTAAAAGTTTTTAAATTAATTAATATAATTTTGTTATT